AAAAGAAAAAAAAAAACGTGATTTTATAAAAAAAAAAATTTTTCCAAAATCCTAAAAAAAAAAAAAAAAAAGTGATTTTATTAAAAAAAATTTTTTTCCAAAGTTAGATGCTTTCTGCTCACATTTCCTCTTCTCTGGATGACAGACCCTGACTTATTTAAACCCTAAAAGAAAAGAAAAAAACGTGATTTTATACAAAAATTTTTTTTTCCAAAGTTAGATGAAAAGAACCAAAAATGATTAATTTTTTTTACATATTTTTTTTACAAAGTTAGTACTCTGCTCACATTTCCTCTTCTCTGGATGATGGACTCTGACTTTCTCTCTGCTCAGTGAGCCTGAGGTGGCGTTTGCACTTCGAGTTCGTGACGGCGCGGGACCCCGTGGAGCCGCCCACCGTCCTGCAGAACCAATCAGAGGTCACGGTTTGGGCGGGGGCGGAGCACGTGGACGTGGACACCTTCAGCTGGAACCTGCCCATCCGGGTGCTGCCCACCAACCCCGCGCTGGCCTCCTACGTGTCCCAGTTCTCCGGGACCAACAGCATCAGCATCTGAGCCCAGGTTCCAGATGTGGACCAACCAGATGTTTTATCCACGCAATCTACTGTACATTTCACCTTTTTTTTGCATTTCGCTTCACTCGTCTCGTATGTTTTTGCACACTTTTTGTGTTCTTTCTCATTTTATGTAAACAGATTTTCTCCTTCAGAATGTTTTTTCCTGTTTTTTCCTGTTTTTTCCTGTTTTTTCCTGTTTTTTCCTGTTTTTTCCTGCTTGTACAGAGGTGTAACGACCACAAGAGGCAATTAAAAGTCTTTTTGTTTGTTTCAAAACAAGAACTTTATTCTTTTCTTTTCTTAAATGAGATGCACCAACAGTTTTGCATTTCGCTTCATTCAAAATTTAGTTTTTGCACACTTTTTTTGTTCTTTCTCATTTTATGTAAACAGATTTTTCTCCTTCCGAATGTTTTTTCCTGTTTTTTCCTGTTTTTTCCTGATTTTTCCTGTTTTTTCCTGCTTGTACAGAGTTGTAACGACCACAAGAGGCAATTAAAGGTCTTTTTGTTTGTTTCAAAACAAGAACTTTATTCTTTTCTTTTCTT